TTGCATTCCCACCAACAGTGTAGGAGGGTTCCCCTTTCTCCACATCCTCTCCGACATCTGTTGATTCCTGAGTTGTTAATTTTAGCCATTCTGACAGGTATGAGGTGGTATCTCACTGTGGTTTTGACTTGTATTTTCCTGATGCTGAGTGATGTTGAGCATCTTTTCATGTGTCTGTTGGCCATTTGGATATCTTCTTTGGAAAAGTGACTATTCATGTCTTCTGCCCATTTCTTGACTGGATTTTTTGGTTTTGTGGTGTTAGGTTTGGTAAGTTCTTTATAGATTCTGGATACTAACCCTTTATCTGATATGTCATTTACAAATATCTTTTCCCATTCCGTAGGCGGCTTTTTAGTTTTGTTGATTGTTTCCTTTGCTATGTTGATGGTTTTTATCTTGATGAAGTCCCAATAGTTTGTTTTTGCTTTTGTTTCCTTTGCCTGTGGTGATATGTCTAGTAAGAAATTGCTAGGGCCGAGGTCAAGAGATTGTTGCCTGTGTTCTCCTCTAGGATTTTGATAGATTCCTGTCTTACATTTAGGTCTTTCATCCATTTTGAATTTATTTTTGTGTATAGTGTAAGAAAGTGGTCCAGTTTCATTCTTCTGCATGTGGCTGTCCAGTTTTCCCAGCACCATTCATTGAAGAGATTGTCTTTTTTCCACTAGATATTCTCTCCTGCTTTGTGGATGATTAATTGACCATAGAGTCGAGGGTCCATTTCTAGGTTTTCTATTCTGTTCCATTGATCTATGTGTCTGTTTTTGTGCCAGTACCATACTGTCTTGATAATTACAGCTTTGTAATATGACTTAAAGTCCAAAATTGTTATGCTTCCCACTTTGCTTTTCTTTTTCAACATTACTTTGCCTATTCGGAGTCTTTTCTGAATCCATACAAATTTTAGAATTGTTTGTTCTAGCTCTGTGAAAAATGCTGGTGTTATTTTGATAGGAATTGCACTGAATGTGTAGATTGCTTTGTGTAGTATAGATATTTTAACAATATTTGTTCTTTTATATGAAGTAAATTTTAGACAATTTAAAAAGAAAGCTCAGTACTCATTGATAAATGAGTACAGAATAAAAGTAGACAGTTTGGGGTCATGGCTCCGGGCTTACACCATGCTAATAGGATTATGATTGTTCTAGAATATTTAACGTTGCTTGCATTCAAAAATTTGCCAAGGAAAGCTCTCTGGTCTCCCCGCTGCTGATTCCTGTTTTTTAACTATCAATCTTCAGAGAGGTTTGATAAAAGCTACATTCTAAGTAAAAGGTGATAACTTGTCATCCATGGAGGAATTCAGTACATGAGGTTCAGAATCTCCTCCAAGTCAGCATCCAAACAATTTCCAATACTTTTTGAACTCAGCTAAATCCCACCTGGTAAAAGTAAGCTCTCCTTCTTCCGCTGAGTTCACAAAGCATCGTGCCCCCAACCCCATCCCCCAAATACTTGTGCCACCTCCTTATGGGTGGAAGAGGACAGCAGGACCCCTGGAGCTAGAAACCTCAGGCCATCAGGTCCTGGGAGAGTTAACTCAGCCAAGCTCAGCCAGCGGTGACTGAAGGATCAAGGATCAGAGTGGAAGTCAGAAATTGGGAGGCACAAGGGGAGGGGAGATAATCAATAGAGAAACTGCACTGTATTTAACAGTCATTGGGTCAGTATGAGGCCAACTGCACCCATGTGGTTTAGACAGCTGGTTTGGTTCCTTCTGCTGCATAGTGAGGGCAGCAGTGGTCTCTGGCCCTGCTCTCTCACTGGTCTGCTTTCTCCCCAGTTCCAGAAGAAAGATATATAATTACATGAGTTCACTGTTGTTGACACTAGATTAAGAAAGGCATCCAGAGGCCCTGGTTCCCATGTCCTTATTTACAGATGAGGGGGAGGAAGAGCAAGGCTGAGATAACCAGGTTACTGGAGATAATGAAGTAGTATCCACAAATTTAAGAGCTGGGAGCTTCTTGCACTGTACATGGTCTTTTTGCCATCGGTGCTTTACAATATTTCCTGGGTTAATGAATGAATAAACTCAGCACATGTCCTTGCTTCATTTTCTTCTTTATGATGTCAACACTTGGCTAAGTGAAGAGGAGTTGATTTGGAAGTTCCCACATGAAAGATGAAGAGCTGCCAGCAAAAGAATACCCTGACAAAGATCTGGGGGTCAGACTGGTTCATAAACTGTAAGTCACTCATTCAACCCACGTCCTTAAGCACCAACCAAGCAGGATGCTGGGTGAATCCTGCATGATCACACCAGTTAATTGAGGAATCTAGCTCTGGGCTACACAGACAGGAGGCTAAATCAGGAGGAAGATTCTCTGCTATGAGCATATGCCAGGTTGTACAGCAAACCCCGGCCAACAACATCATCAGATTGAGTTTATAAAATGTTAAGAAGTTGCCGGCCTGTAAATAAAGCTTTAGAAATGCAGCTTCTTCTCCCAGGAAGAAGTCAACACTGACCCTCTCACCAAGACTACATATTCACCTAGCTACAGTGGCCTGTAGCCAGGGACCCCAGCCTTCCCAGGATCCCTTGAACCTGGCTACTTCCCCAGTTTTCCAAGGGGGTGAATTCAGAGTCCTAAGGAAGGAGGGAGATCCTCCTCGCAGAATGCAAGAGGCAGGCTCCCTCCAATCTTTCTCTGGTCCAGGCCCCATTTCTCCACCTCCAGTGGACACAGCCTTCCAGGATCCCCAACCCTTGCTGGTATAAGCAGAGAGCGATGCAGTCCTCCTGCATACCTCCCATGTCCTCCACTCCTACTCCACCAATGCCAAGAACAGCCTGTTCTAGACCCATATCATTTCCTGAATCTGCTGTCCCTAATCCAGGGGACCAGCCCAGCTCAAGTCACTGTCATCTGTGCCTGCAAACCCGCAGTTGCCTGCTGAGTGGCTCCCCCATACTACTGGGGCCCTTTAGCCTACTCTCCAATCCTCTACGTGCAGTCTTAGCAAGTTGGCCCCTGGGTGTTTCCCCATGGATTTCAGAACAAAACCCCAAATCTTTATCGTTTGGGCTCACAGAGATCCTCTTTCCCTGGGTCTTCCCTCCCATTTTTCAGGCTCCAGTCTCATGGCCTGTCCTTCACACGCTTATAAAGGTCACAATCTTCACACCACAGGGCCTCTGTCTGTGCTGTTCCCCCATATGGAAATCATTCCTCCTCTTAACTATTCCTCCTTTAGATTCCAGCTTTGTTGGCATTCTCCATCAGGGGAGCCAGTCCTACTGCCCATGTCCCAACCAGGGCAGTACATCTGCTGACACCTTCAACTTCTCCCTGTGGGATCTGTCATAGCTACAACTGTCCAACATGTTCAAATCTGTCCACTCTAACAGACTTCAAGGGTCATGAAGGCAGGAGTTCCCTCCTTTAATCCCAGTGCCTAGCCCAGTGCATGGTAGAGACTTAAATAACATTGACCGGCTGGCTCGCTGGCAGGATTAACTGGCTGGATGAATGGATGGATGGATAAATGCATGGATAAATAGGTGAGTGGGTGGATAGATGGATGGGTGGATGGATGGATGGATGGATGGATGGGTGAGTGGGTGGATAGATGACACCAAAGAGCACAGGGTATCCTAGGGGTTCTGAGAGAGGATTCCTGGACCTTCTCAAATATCTTATTAAAATAAGAAGAACATAAAGGACACCTCTGAAGGGTCTCTAACTAGAGTCTGAGATGGGCACTTTATGCCTTGGGGAGGCTGAAAGCCAGTGAGTTAATAACCCCCATGACACCCTAACTGAAATCTCTGTGGAGGGCAGATGTAGCAGACATGGGTGCCATGCCTGTAGCCCCTTGGTAGCCCCTGGCCATTCTCCTCCTGAATGTTCCTTCTGGTGAACTAGGTTCTCACTGTCAGCCCAGAGTGCCAAGAATTTGCTGCTTCCAATGAGGAGGGTAGCTGGAAGAAAGATGCCACAGCCCCGTCTCCTTGGCTCAGAAAACTGAGAGTGTTCTCTGGGGACCATGTTCCAGGAGACTCAGTGTCACCTGCGTGCTCAGGTACCCTCTGTTGGTTTCCCCCATTCCTGTCTGACTTCTCCTCTCGAATAAATGGCTTGTCCCAAATTTGTGTCTCAGGGTCTACTTCTGGGGGAAGACAGCTCCAATGAGTAACACATCTGCGACTTCAGGAAAAGCACCCTTTGCTTCAAGGGCCTTTGATGAGCTGCTGGGAGGAAGGGGCCTGCTGTGGCCGGGATTCTCAGAACTCCGGCCCTTCCTGCTAACACTGAGCCAGGGGAGTCAGGAATGCAAGTCCAGGGCCATGAGGCCAGAAACATTTTCCTCTTTTCTTTCTGATGCTTTTTGTGACACTGCCACCTCACAACACAGTATCTGCACTGTGAAACCCTGAAAACTGCCAAATTTCATCCCATTTGGTTTAATGCTCTTTAGGAGCTTGGCATTGTGTTAAGACAATCCATCATTCCCACGGCCCAGTTCCTATTTAAAAACTGCCCATCTATTTAAAGTTCATGATGAGGGGATAAAAGAAAAAAGACTTCCAAAGCCAAAGGGAACATGAGATAGGCAGAAGAAAAATCCAGTTTGCTTCTAAAAAAGGCTGAAAATTATAACCATCCGTGGCCTCATGTCTCAAGTCTGAGAATTTTTTTTTTTTCCTCTTCTGGTTGTTTGCAAACCAAAGTGGAATTTTATTATGGGTTACTAAGTGAGCTTTTTCAAGTTCCTAGTCCCCCAAAGTCTCCACTCACTCTGTAGCATGCCATTTAAGTTCGTCCTGCAGATGGGAAAGACAAGGGAGCCCAAATAAAGCAGCAGGCGTCTCTGAGCTGGAACCGCCTGCCCCCCCACGCTGCTGCATTTCCCCAGCAATTAGCCAGAGACCCAACGCAGCCGTCTGACCTCTTCTATGAACAACAAAACCGTGATGAAGGCGACAGGAGTCAGAACACTATTCATTGCAGGAAGCCCCAGTATCCGGTAAGAAGTAAGAAGTACAACAGTACAGGATGCGCCTTGGGTCAGGGGGATGTGAAAGCCCTCAGTCTTTGTGCTCCTCCCTGGGCCAGAGCGTCTGCGTCTGAGCCCTTGGTTGTTCTTGGAGTTCAGCTGTGCCTGTGGCTGTCACCGCAGGGCCATCAGCCCCCCGCCGGGAGGGACACGGGGCCATGATGGCCACCTGCGCCGGGCTGCCGCTGCTGCTGCTGCTGCTGAGGCTGCTTCTGGGCCAGCCCCGGGCGGGGGCCGGCGCTCACAGGGTGGCTGCGGTGTGCGCGGGCAGGGCCTGCTACACGGCGCACTGGGGCAAGCTGAGTGCGGCCGAGGCCCAGCTTCACTGCAGCAGGAACGGCGGCAACCTGGCCACGGTGAGGAGTGAGGAGGAGGCCTGGCACACCCAGCGAGCCCTCACCCAGCTCCTGGAGTCGGAGGCGCCCCTGGCAGCTCGGATGGGAAAGTTCTGGATCGGGCTCCAGCGCGAGAAGGCCAAGTGCTTGGACCCCAGCCTGCCGCTGAAAGGCTTCAGCTGGGTGGGCGGCGGGGAGGACACGCTTTACACCAACTGGAATAAGGAGGTGAGGAGCTCTTGCATCTCCAGGCGCTGTGTGTCCCTGCTGCTCTATCTGTCCCAGCCTTCCCATGCCAGCCATCTCCCCAAGTGGTCCGAGGGCCCCTGCGGGAGCCCGGGCTCTCCAGGAAGCAACATCGAAGGCTTCGTGTGCAAGTTCAGTTTCAAAGGCATGTGCCAGCCTCTGGCTCTGGGGGGCCCAGGCCGGGTGAACTACACGACCCCGTTCAATGCCACCAGCTCTTCCCTGGAGGCCGTGCCCTTTGGCTCCGCAGCTACCGTGGTCTGTGGGGCCGGGGAAGGCGGTCAGGAGGATTACTTCATGTGCAGGGAGAAGGCCCCTGATGTGTTTGACTGGGGCAGCTCAGGCCCCCTCTGCGTCAGCCCCCAGTATGGGTGCAGCTTCAACAACGGGGGCTGCCAGCAGGACTGCTTCGAGGGGGGCGACGGCTCCTTCCGCTGCGGCTGCCGGCCGGGCTTCCGGCTGCTCGACGACCTGGTGACCTGTGCCTCCCGGGACCCTTGCAGCTCCAGCCCGTGCCAGGGGACAGCCACCTGTGTCCCGGCACCCCACGGGAAGAACTACACGTGCCGCTGCCCCCAGGGCTACCAGCTGGACTCTAGTCAGCAGGACTGTGTGGACATGGACGAGTGCCAGGACTCCCCCTGCCCACAGGCCTGTGTCAACGCCCCTGGGGGCTTCCGCTGTGAGTGCTGGGTGGGCTACGAGCCCGGCGGCCCCGGGGAGGAGCCCTGTCGGGATGTGGACGAGTGTGCCCCCGGCCGCTCGCCCTGCGCCCAGGAGTGCACCAACACCGACGGCTCCTTCTACTGCTCCTGCGAGAAGGGCTATGTTCTGGCCGGGGCAGAAGGCACCGAGTGCCAGGACGTGGACGAGTGTGCGGACACGGACAATGGCCTTTGTGACAGCTTGTGCCTCAACACGCAGGGGTCCTTCCGCTGCGGCTGCCTGCCGGGCTGGGAGCTGGGCCCGGACGGGGTCTCGTGCACCCTGGGCCCCACGTCCCTGGCACCGCCGTCTGGGCCTTCCCAGGGGGGGGATGCGGGAGTTAGAGAGGGGAAACTCGTGCATTCTGCCACAATGTCCAGGGACCCTGAGGGTACCTCCAAGGAGACACCCACCGCAAAAGGAACCTCCCTCCCACGCAATTCCCCCGTTACCCTGGCCACACCCCACGTGCCGGCTCCCAGTGGGCCCCCTGGTGTCTGGATGGAGCCCAGCACCCATCACCCTCTGGCCACCCCTGGCCGTGGGGAGAGTACAGATGAGGATTTCACAGCCAAACAAAGCGATGAGGGCACCGACGGACAAAAGCTGCTGTTGTTCTACATCCTGGGCACCGTGGTGGCCATCTTACTCTTACTGGCTCTGGCTCTAGGGCTACTGGTCTATCGCAAGCGGAGAGCAAAGAGAGAGGAGGAGAAGGAGAAAAAGCCCCAGAACGCAGCTGACGGCTACTCCTGGGCTCCAGAGCGAGCTGAGAGCAGGGCTTTGGAGAATCAGTACAGGTAAAGGAGGCCTCAGGTCACCCAGAGGGGGTGGGAGGGTGGGCAGGTGCGGGGAGACGGGAGGGCAAGGACCGGCACACAAAGCAGGCGGAGTACAAGGGGCAGGCGTTGTCCAGGCTGTCAGCCCGGCGGCGCTCACTAAGGGCTGTCGCCCTCCCTGGGGCATGGAGCACGTGGGCCCCTCCCGGGGTCTAGATGTGCTTGGCGGGTCACAGCGGCTTCCAATGCTGTCCTGGTTGTTTTCCGCAGTCCGACGCCGGGGACGGACTGCTGAAGGTGAGATGGCCCCAGAGACGCTGACAATCGGCCACCACCGTCCTCAGAGTTTTACGCACCCCGTCAGAAGGGGGGGCACATCCTTCCAAAAGACTGGACTGGAATCTTAGCAAACAGTTGTAAACATTCTTAAAAGCTGGCCACTTGGAAAATACAGGTATTTTCTATGTGTGTGGTATTCTTGAAGTGGAAGCAATGTGTTGGGATGTCATTTCGGGAATTTTGTGAATATTAACAGTTCTCACTCACTTATCTTGTCAAATTCAAATGTGACTGATTTCATGTCTGCCACTGATTCTGGATCAAGGGCTTACAAGTCAGGTGCTAATGGGGCTCCTTTTGAACTGCTTCTCTGCTCGCTGGAATCATCTAAGAAGAAAAGATGGTCTGTTAATGCTATTAGGATTGGAATGATTTGTTCCTCTTGGTAGAACAGAGACTAAATCAATTGTTTAATTACGTAAGAAGCTTTTTTTTTTTCTTTTTTTTGGTCAAAAGGAACATATTCAGGACTGGAAACATTTCTTTTCATTTGTGTTCATGCATTTTCCCATCACAAGCCCTGCTGAGCTTTATGGTTGGAGTCCTGCAGAATGACCAGAGTACACTGATCTGCTTAGGTAGCAAGGATGCTGGAAGTTTAGAAATTGCATTTCCTAGTTCTTAGTGTCTCTAATGGTCTTGGGTTTATTTGCAAGTGAAGTCTGGAAAGTGTGGGAGAAGTATGAAGTGAGTTGAAAGTGTTTTTGAAAGCACGTACTCCAAAGAGCTTGAGAGAGAAGCCCGGGGTTTGTTCCACAAATACTTGAATCAATCCTTCTAAATGCACTTGCATTTAACACACACTTACTATTGATGAGGTGAATGCGCACAAGGATAAAAGCTGGACACGTCTTGTCTCTGGGTGAGTGCAGCCCCGAGACACCTCCCATGCCACCTGCCTTCTCTGCGTGCTGTTCTGGATTTAAATGCTCTGATCTTAGATGGATGAAGCCCTGAGAAGTCTCTCATTCTGATTATTAAGGCTGTGTGAGGGGGATGAGATGCTGAGTTTTGAAAGCTGGCATCATAAGGCATTTTAACATAGCTCACAGCTGGTATTGCTTCTTGAGAACATGATCCTGACTTGTGGCTGTAGCTTGCAAGAAAGGGACTGGGCAGGCAGGACGCTGTCCCCTTTCTGCTTGAAGAAGTTTGTCACGTTTTTTTCTATTTCTTAAAAAAAGTGGGGGAGATGGGATGGAGAAGAAAAAAGAGAATAGCTAAAATCTTTTGCAACCACAAAAACCACTCAAGGCAGTTTTAATTTATTTTTAAATGCTCGCTTGCAAAGGTTTCCCTTCCCTGTGTAGTGGTGGAGAGTACTCTCTCCCCATGCAGTTCTGCCTGGGTCACTGGAAAACAGCTCAGGGATTCACCAATGGTCAGAGCTAGCACCGGGAGACCGCAGGTCATCTGCAGGCTTGTTGCTGTCACCTTGTAGAACAGAACGGGAGTGTATTTCCTTCTAGGGATCCCAAAATCTGCCTCTCAGAACCAGGGTGCCCTACTTGGTTTTGCCTTAGAAACACATCTGTCCCAGAGGCGGACACCTGGGGCATGAGGAGCTGCCAGGTGCATGGCCCTCAGAGTTAAATAAATATACTTTAGATATTTTTGAAATGTAGATGCTATATTTCAGGGTTTTTTTTTTTTTAAGGAAATGGGTAACTGAAGGAGTGGGTATAAGGAAAGATGAAGGTTTTGGAGGACTTAGCATGGTATTTGGAACTTTTGCTTTTTAAAGACATCTAATATTATATAGATTTCAGTTGAAATACTGGTGCTTAACACCCAAGGAGGCAAAGGTTGTATCCACCAGCCATAGGACCCTTGGCCGTCTGTTGTGTGGGAAACAACCATGCCACTATTCAGATGATTTCAAAGAGTTGGCCGGATGCGTTGCTGACAATATTGGCACTTACATGAAATAAATGCAAATTCAACAGTTTTAGCTCCAGGCTTTTACGATGCTACCTTGTCACTAGAAGGAAGGAGACATTCCTGTTCTAGGCTTCCCCTAAGGCCCTGTGGGGAACTGTGGGACTTGTACTGGCTGAGATCCCCAAGTGTGCTCGCTCATTTTTAGAGTCGGATTTCTTCTGCGGTGCAGCCCCGATTTTGACCTCTATGTTTGAATCCCTCCATGGGTAAAACACCCTATCCCAACAGCGTGAAGACCTCAGATCCCCACTGTGAAACATGCAAGGGGAGAAATGGGCTGATAAATATTTTCTCAATATCCCCTCCAGCAGAATCTGCCCCTGCCTGGGTAGATGAGCCCTACCTTGTCTCCCGGCCACTCAAACCAGCGGCCAAGATCCCAGAACTGGATGCCCTTAGGCAGTGAATCTGATGAACACTGCTGCTTCCAACAAATGCTGTTCTCCTATTTCATACCTCTGTCATTTTGTCTGAGGGATGTGAATCCTTGTTTGGGGAGATGGGGGCCCACAGCAGTGGACACACAAATGCCCACTGGCTGCTTGGCCATTGGTCAATAGTCCTTTTATCCAGAAGCTCCCCAAGTGCCTGGGCCATGACACAGCCTGAGAAATGGAAGGGATGGAGCATGGGAGAGGTAGGCTCTGCCATGTACAGACTCCTCCAGCTGTGTCCAACAGACCAGGCACTGTTCTGTCCCTGAGCTGCCGAGCAGCAGAATGGCCAGGGCGATGGAGAAAGGGAGACAGCTTCACTTGGCTGTCTTGAATTAGCTTGAATTAGCTCTAAGACAATGGAGACTTTTGTCCAAATAGAATTTCCCATACTTCAATAATTCCAGGATGCACTTGAAAAAACTGTATTCAGAACAAACCCACCCCGTCCCGTCCCCTCTCTCTAAGGCAGATCATTTAAGGAGAGGATGCAGCCCACTATACTCCTTCCTGAATTTCCGGGATGCTCCCTGCTCTTTGCTCTTGTTCATTTGCACACGTGATGAAGAACAAGCCCCACCCCAGAATCTGAGGAGTGTATAAAGCAAAAGTGGGGCAATTATCTGAAAATGCCTTGGGAGTGGTGGACCTGGTGGGGCTTTTTGTAGGGTGCATGCACTGCTACTCAACATTGTGACCTTGAGGCTGGTGTCCCTTTGGTTCATCCACATGCCTGATTATCATAACCATGATATCTGGCGCTACACAGCCGAATGGTGTTTTCCGGGCAGCATAAAAGTGAATGACTCAAGTGGGTTTCTTCTTAAGGACAGGAGGGATGCAGGCTAACATCCTCCCTGTGATTAGGCAAAAAGGTGGAATAAAAAGTTAAACACATATGCGAACGTGTTTATGTACATGGTATAGGAAGAACTAAGTTGGAAATGAATCTCTGTCCCTGAAACACATGTGCATGTTGCTATTCTTACATTCCATTCAGGAGCCCCTGTTTGAACACATCCTGATAGGACCTGGAGTTTTATCACCGAATGACCTTTGGAGAATATGGACGTGATCATTAGCTAATTTTATTCCAGCCCTCTTTCCCACAAATATTCCTGTGAAAACTAAGAGAACAGAGGCAAGATTTGACCCCAAAAATGTACTACATTCAAAATAATGCAGTTTTTAAAAGCAAATATAGGACAGCCTTTTCCTATTATTTTTCTCCTTAGCTTCTCCATTGTCTGAATCAGGAAAACAGGAAAGCATGGCTTTCTAGCAGCTGCAAAATGGTGTAATGTCCCCTCCATATTTCCAACACCTTAAACAATAGATTTAGCATGGAATCTGAGATATGATCCCTGAAAACATCTGTCCCTATCTGGTTGCAAAACCTCCTGCTATGTCTATGTGGTTTGTGGTGTTTGTCAACCAAAAAAAAAAAAAAAAAAAAAAAAAAAAAAAAGAAGCTGATAATCAAAATTCTCCATGTATTCTATAATCAAATACCATATTCCATTCCAGATTCCCAAAACTAATACTCATCAAAATGCTTTAAAAAAAAATGATTTGTGTTTTGACCTGTTCTTGGAGATCATGCCCATCTATTTTAGGAAGAAACTCTGGAAATTCTGTCTTACACTGTTCCTCTTATCTACAAGGGTTTCCTTTCTGCAGATTTTGCCCACCGTTCTTCCAGGCTGGGTTCTTTATGCATATTTGGCTGAAGCTTGAATTAGGTCATTCACAAGGCCTTGTTTTGTGATACTTGATGCGACTCTAAATGTCAATCATCACTGCATGCGCGCTAGATGAGAATGTAAGTATTTTTAAATCTGTGGATTTGAAATGTGGTCCACTAATTCTGCCATTGTGGGATTTCTCTGTAGGGCTTCTTTCTGTCCTGGGCACGACTGTTTCCCAGGGCGGGGAGGACAGGCTTGGCCGCTGCGTCGGCCTTATGACTCTGAGAAGCCAAGGGGCATCTCAGGTCCGCCTCAACGAATAGCCTGCTTGTTGTCCTTTGTGTTTTATGTCACATGCCTAACCTAATAAACTCTGGAATGCATTTGTTGTCAACTTGTTTTAATACATTTCATAACAACTCTAAATACATGGCAGAACTTGAATTCATGGTCATTAAACATATCCCTTTCTCTCCTCAAATAGTTGCTTAAAAAAGTACCTTTCCTGCCCCATTTCTACATCTTTACCTACTGGTCATGACACTAAGTCTAGGACACCTAGGTTGGGACGAGGCCCTGTCCACCGGGACAAGGACATTCTGAGGAACTGGGCTGCACTGTGTCCTGTGTCCCGGCTGCTGAACCCAGCCAGGCTGGACTTGATGCTTCCAGATTTGTTTTCTGGTCTGAGTCCACTCCCCCATGCCTCTCTGCCCGTTTAATTCCCTGCATCGTTTTAATTGCATGGGGGACACCTGGTGTGTGATTAAACATGTCCAATTGGTGTGATGTGGAAACACCATTCTGTAATTATCATAGGACCACTTGTCGCCACTTTGTCAGCAAAGCCTTTTCCGTTTGTTTAGCTAATTGCACAGGCAGACCAGATCCCTCACTGCTTGGTTGCACGAATCTCACTGTGCCTGGAGGCCAGGGCAGCAGGTGGTCTGATTTGAGTTGGCCTGCCTCTCAGACTGCGTGCCTGGTGAGAACAGGGCCTGGGGAGGAGAAAGTGCCCCGCTGTCATGTTAAGGGACAAGACACTTGCCATAACCATTCATTGCTTACAGTTAAATAAAGCTGATCCTTTTAGCAGTCCAGTCACTAATGAAATACATTTGGAAATTCTATCTTAATATGAACAGCCATGGCTGCCTCCCAACACACACACACACACACACACACACCACAATTTTAACAGGCTTCTCTTTCATATTGAAAAACCTGAGGCCAGTGTTTCCTAATTTAGGAAAAGCCCATGAACAAAATGGCCAAATTTAAACTCCTCTTGGTGACTTTTGCTATCTGCTAACTAAAATAAATATTAGATACACCTTTCAAATATGAATCATTTACAAAGAAATTCAATTCATAAAGAGTTATATTTACTGCTCAATAAAAAGTCCATTTGTAACAGAAAACATGTAGATTAAAATACAAGACTCACATGCCATGGAGTTTAACACGAATCAAACAAACATATCAAGTTCTCAGCTGACTTCTAAATATATTCAGTAAGTGGAGACAGGGCACAGATAATAAACCTGCAAATTCAAAGCCTCAATTAGCCCTTCACAGCTTCCCTAGGCCCCCCAGGTCATCCTTTGCGGAGGAAATGATGGACAGGTAAGTGGTGAAAAGGTGAGCAAAGTGCAGCGAAGAAATGAAAGAGCAGGATAACCCCTGAGGCTGGCAACCACCCCCAGGGAGCCTGACTTGACAGGATGCTCTTCACGGGGCCACACACGCAGGTCCTCACCTGAGCCTCCTGGCACCCAAACCTCGGCACCACGACCACTTCCCCGCCCTGCCCCCAAAATCTTTTTGCTGGATTTTTATGTGAAGTCTGTCATCATTGACTTGGATGTTGATCTTCTCCTGTGGTTGAAAACTGGTCCATAGAATTCAACTGTACAGTAGGAAGGAAGAAGGAAGGAAGGGAGGAAGAAAGGAAGGAAGGAAGGAAGGAAGGAAGGAAGGAAGGAAGGAAGGAAGGAAGGAAGACGCAGGGAAGGAAAGCAGGATGGGAAGAGGGCAGAGAGAGAGAGGAAAGAATGGAAGAAAGGAAAGAAGAAATGGAAGAAACAGAGAGAAAAAGGAGGGGAAGGGGATAGAAGAAGGGAGAGAGAGAGAGAGAGAGAGAGAGAGAAGAGGGGGGTGGAGGATGACTTGGATGTGGCCAAGGTCATTGGGTCGCCATTCACGCATCTCAGCTTTAGTTTGAGATGCTCAGGGGCCATTTGTCCTTACTGCCATCTGTAACTTCCTGGACCGCGCTTGCAGAAGACAGAGCTCTATTTCTGTGGAGCTTGGCTGAGGACCAACACCCTCTGTATCATGCTCTTGCCACCTCTTCCTGCAAAGCACTGCTTATCTCCTCCACTTCATGTTTTATGCCTGTCCACATAATTCATAGCATAATGTTCTAAACTGGGTCAGGGCCTTCTGTGCTGTAGAGATCCTTCTACTTTCAAACATCACACGAAAATAATGAAATGTGTGAGGTAGAAGCAAATAATTTTGCCTTTTACCTCCTTTCCTCTGGGTCTTCCTTTCCCCAAAAGTTTATATCACAAATCAAGTGTTTCACTTCCTTGTTAAAACAATCATCCGCATCCCCAAGTAGCTGGCCCCTGGGTATCTGAGCCCACCTTCTCTCGTCACGGCGAGTGCGTTGCATGCAGGCTCTGGCTCATCCATGGACTTTGTCCAAGTCGTTGTCTCTCACGGTGATGTGGCTTTGCTGACCCCCTCGTATTTCTTTTTTTTTTTAATTTTTTATTGTTATGTTAATCACCATATATTACATCATTAGTTTTTGATGCAGCGTTCCATGATTCATTGTTTGTTCATAACACCCAGTGCACCATGCAAAACGTGCCCTCCTCAATACCCATCACCAGGCTAACCCATCCCCCCACCCCCCTACCCTCTAGAACCCTCAGTTTGTTTTTCAGAGTCCATCATCTCTCATGGTTCGTCTCCCCCTCTGACATACTCCCCTTTTCTTCCTCTCCTGTTATCTTCTTCTTTTCCTTTTTTCTTAAAATATGTTGCGTTATTTGTTTCAGAAGTACAGATCTGTGATTCAACAGTCTTGCACAATTCACAGCGCTCACCGTAGCACATACCCTCCCCAAAGTCTATCACCCAGCCATCCCATCCCTCCCACCCCCAACCACTCCAGTAACACTCAGTTTGTTTCCTGAGATTAAGAATTCCTCATATCAGTGAGGTCATGTGATACATGTCTTTCTCTGATTGACTTATTTCACTCAGCATAACACCCTCCAGTTCCATCCACGTCGTTGCAAATGGCAAGATCTCATTCCTTTTGATGGCTGCATAATATTCCATTGTGTATATATACCACATCTTCTTTATCCATTCATCTGTCGATGGGCATCTTGGCTCTTTCCACAGTTTGGCTATTGTGGACATTGCTGCTATAAACATTGGGGTACATGTACCCCTTCGGGTCCCTACATTTGTATCTTTGGGGTAAATACCCAGTAGTGCAATTGCTGGATCGAACGGTAGCTCTAATTTCAACTGTTTGAGGAACCTCCATACTGTTTTCCAGAGGGGTTGCACCAGCTTGCATTCCCACCAACAGTGTAGGAGGGTTCCCCTTTCTCCACATCCCCGCCAACATCTGTCGTTCCCTGACTTGTTAATTTTAGCCATTCTGACGGGTGTGAGGTGGTATCTCATTGAGGTTTTGATTTGGATTTCCCTGATGCCGAGTGATGTTGAGCACTTTTTCATGTGCCTGTTGGCCATTTGGATGTCTTCTTTGGAGAAATGTCTGTTCATGTCTTCTGCCCATTTCTTGATTGGATTATTTGTTCTTTGGGTGTTGAGTTTGATAAGTTCTTTATAGATTTTGGATACTAGCCCTTTATCTGATATGTCATTTGCAAATATTTTCTCCCATTCTGTCGGTTGTCTTTTGGTTTTGTGGACTGTTTCTTTTGCTGTGCAAAAGCTTTTTATCTTGATGAAATCCCAATAGTTCATTTTTGCCCTGGCTTCCCGTGCCTTTGGCGATGTTTCTAGGAAGAAGTTGCTGCGGCTAAGGTCGAAAAGGTTGCTACCTGTGTTCTCCTTTAGGATTTGGATGGACTCCTGTCTCACGTTTAGGTCTTTCAACCATTTGGAGTCTATTCTTGTGTGTGGTGTAAGGAAATGGTCCAGTTTCATTCTTCTGCATGTGGCTGTCCAATTTTCCCAACACCATTTGTTGAAGAGACTGTCTTTTTGCCATTGGACATTCTTTCCTGCTTTGTCAAAAATAAGTTGACCATAGAGTTGAGGGTCCATTTCTGGGCTCTCGATTCTGTTCCATTGATCTATGCGTCTGTTTTTGTGCCAGTACCATACTGTCTTGATGATGACAGCTTTGTAATAGAGCTGGAAGTCCGGAATTGTGATGCCGCCAGCTTTGCTTTTCTTTTTCAGTATTCCTCTGGCTATTCGGGGTCTCTTCTGGTTCCATACAAATTTTAGGATTATTTGTTCCATTTCTTTGAAAAAAGTGGATGGTATTTTGATGGGGATTGCATTGAATGTGTAGATTGCTCTAGGTAGCATTGACATCTTCACAATGTTGATTCTCCCAATCCATGAGCATGGAACGTTTTTCCATGTCTTTGTGTCTTCTTCAATTTCTTTCATGAGTATTTTATAGTTTTCTGAGTACAGATCCTTTGCCTCTTTGGTTAGATTTATTCCTAGGTATCTAATGGTTTTGGGTGCAATTGTAAATGGGATAGACTCCTTGATTTGTCTCTCTTCTGTCTTGTTGTTGGTGTATAGGAATGCCACTGATTTCTGTGCATTGATTTTATAGCCTGCTACTTTACTGAATTCCTGTATGAGTTCTAGCAGTTTTGGGGTGGAGTCTTTTGGGTTTTCCACGTACAGTATCATATCATCTGCAAAGAGTGAGAGTTTGACTTCCTCTTTGCCGATTTGGATGCCTTTGATTTCTTTTTGTTGTCTGATTGCTGTGGCTAGGACTTCTAATACTATGTTGAATAGCAGTGGTGAGAGTGGACATCCCTGCCGCATTCCTGACCTTAGGGGAAAGGCTCTCAGCCTTTCCCCATTGAGAATGATACTCGCTGTAGGTTTTTCATAGATGGCTTTTATGATATTGAGGTATGTACCCTCTATCCCTATACTCTGAAGAGTTTTGATCAAGAAAGGATGTTGTACTTTGTCAAATGCTTTTTCTGCATCTATTGAGAGGATCATATGATTCTTGTTCTTTCTTTTGTTAATGTATTGTATCACGTTGATTGATTTGCGGATGTTGAACCAGCCTTGCAGCCCAGGAATAAATCCCACTTGGTCATGGTGAATAATCCTTTTAATGTAC